TTAATATTACACTTTACAAAAAAAATACATATAATTATAGATCTTATCAAAGGTTATTTAACAATGTATTTTTTTTTGATAATTATATATTTGGATATAAAGTTTTTGTATTTCAAAGTATTTGATGCGACTTAGTGTGGTGCACCATAGTTTTCCTAACAAGTTAACTAACAATATCGCTCTATTAATTGATATTGATGAAATCGAACTTCTTGAAAAGTAAAGTTTATATTTTATCTAGATTTGATTAATTTTTGAATACATGTAAATTGTATTATTCATCGGATACTGAAGATTGAGAAAATTAATCAATGTGCCACACCCGGTTACTTTTTAAAATTCCGGAAATCGGGCGGCAAATCCAAACCTGAAAATTATGTTTGCTTGCGAAATGGTTGTTGTTTAACATTAACGTTAAAGTCACATATGTTGCCCTTTACTTGCTATATTTATTAATATAGCAACAAAAACTCAATTTCGTATTATGTGCTGTGTTTTAGATGGTAAATATAAGATAACGATAACAAAAATCAATCTGAACACATTCTTCCTCAATTGAATATCGAATATACACAACATATTTCTCTCATCGATGGATGAACAAACTTGGTTTTCATTTTCAACATTACCGGTTTCCCATCTTCGAATAAATAAATAGGTGTCTGATGTTTATTAAATATCAACGGGAAATATTAAAGTGATCTTTGTTTCGATTTAATTTTGAGTTAAAAAAAATAAAGATAAATGGTTCAATTAAATGATGTCTTATTTACCTCTTAGAGATATAACTAACGTTACTCATACGAGCAGAATTTACATGAAAAATAACTATTTATACACACAAACATAAGTGCTATTATGTTTGATCTCTGTCATAAAGACGTGTTGACAATCAAAAAAATCAAAACCAAGCAATTTGCTAGTACGTTTAAAATCTGGAGTATTAAAATATTGTTGTGATTTCGATTCGTTGGGGAGGATTTTTACCGCAACAAGACTTTTGGGAGAAATTATTAGACTGGATGGAATTCGTTTCGTTATCTAAAGTCTGCCGATATCGTCGATTACGTTGATTTGTGGAGAGATTATGTGCTTCAGTTAGGTGTTTGGGGGTTTTTTGCGTTGCTTTTCTAGTTAAAATCCTTAAACTCTTAAAAATTAATTATACATATATATCATAAAAACGGTGTCACAAGCAAAAAACACGATTCACATGAATACGATTCCATAAAAATAATGCTTTTTCTGGTACAAAGGATCTAAACAAACAATATAACTTTTAATGAGGGAGTTTTACAAGCAATAATTGTACACAAGGATTTAAGTTTGATTTGCTTGGAGAAGAATTGTACACAATTTTAATTCTGTTTTTATTAGTACGTTTTTTTGTGTTAATACGTTTTACTATAGCTATCATAATGTTTTCTTAAGAACACTTTTCTATCTAAGGGACGCTGTGCTTCACTAATAAAGAAATAAATAAAAATAAAGTTGAAAATTCATAAGAAAATGCTGTAAATTGATGAAAAGATACTATAGATGGATGAAGAGATGCGAGAAGGGGGCTGAAAGATGACGACAAATGCTACAAATCGACGAAAAGGACGTGGAGATGAGGATTCGTGCTATTTACTGAAAAGGAAGTTTATTAGCACGATGGCTGTAAAATCAATCGCATTGTTGACGGTCTTGATGGAAGATCTACCAACCGCATCATCGCCCTAGCCATGGCGAAAAAAAATGTTCAGGTCCGTGGTAATCAATAAGAATGAGTAAATTTTTGATCTGCTAGTGTCATAAACCAATAAAATGCGCAAATCTTTGATCAGCTCAGCAAAACAAATCCGACACAAGAAAATTAAAAAGAGAAAAATGTAAAAATACGGGAAATAGATGCCTAACGCTATCTTGGTAGACTAATCAAAAGTGTCGGGAAGGCAATTTTATATATAACCTTGATCACAGGTCCAACCCTAACCCTAAACTTTAAATTAATCTTTAACAATAACCTCTGTTGCCGTAGAACTTTTCCGGACATACACAAATATCACATGACCCGAACATTTTTTCGCCATGGCTAGGGTATCCGGTTGGGAATTTGCTGAAAATTTACCGGATTTGGAAATCAGCAGCACTGTTGACACATTCATCCGGCGTTGGCGATATTCTTGGTTCGTCTTCTGCCGTTTATCCCCCGAAAAGCTGCAATTGGAGAAGTTTGTTCGCTGATGGTAGCAATATTGAACGACGGGTAAATATTTTGTCTTGTACATGTAATAAGAATGACTTCTAATAATTTTAGATGTGGTCCAGGACATGGATAAAACATCACTGGTCGAACAAGATGGGTTTCCCCTTTGGTCCAAATGTAGGGTCAAAATTCAATTTGATAGTTTTTGCACTAGATATCTCCATAGTTTTACAAAAAAATTAAAATCAAATGAAGTACTGTACAAAATATCGTCGGGATAAATCCCAGATAAAAATTATTTTAAACTTATATAAGTTTAACCTGATTTTTTCCACTGGACTGGTCAAATAACCTAGATTTTTCCTGATTAAAACGTGGGGTCAAAATTTAATTTGTATTTTTGCCTCAGATATTACTATACACAATAAAAAAATAGGAAACATATGCATCCAAACTAGATGAAATTATATATCAAAATATAGAATATAACTAGTTGGAAACTTGAAAAAAATCAGATTAAACCTACAATTAACCTTGAATAATTTTTTTATCCTCCTTTTATAGCATTATTTAATTTTTTTATGTTCAATACCCTTTGCAAAACCGGGAAAGGGATAGGTTCTTCATCATGCTTTTTGGACCACAAATCACTGGGTTTGTTGGTTAGTATTTTGTTTCTGATTACGTCACCAGATGTAGTTAAAGTCTCATTTACACAAAAAAATACTTAAAGAAGTGAAAAAATCCAAGTATACAAATAGAATGACATGCAAAGATATGTAAGAGATCAAGGTCAGAAAAGGAAAGTATTATAATGAATATTTGAAGTACATGTAATCTTACCTAATACATACAATATATTTAATACAGCTTTATATTTATTAGAAATCAGAATGACCTCTCCAAAATCTTGAACAACTGAAAGAAAATTCAGAAGCTTTATTCGAACATCCATTTCTTGAAATACAACGAATTCTGCAAAGAGATTATATGTCACCAGAGTTAATAGATACTGAATCAGAACATCAAGGTGGTTAAAAACTAACTGCTAATTTTTCAACCTAGTTAAAAAGTAATTCCATTAAGAGCCATCAAATTTAGAAGTACAAAATAAAATATGAATAGTTCAAGAAATAATACTGTTGCCTTCGATTTCAATTTATTTTTGCTGTAAGCATGCCATTCTGCTGATTTTGTACGCCAATACCTTTTTGGTAACATGTAGTACTCTGCGAATTTTCAATACAGCTCGATAGCATTTCCCATCTTTTTTGCACGCAAATGTCTCTTTAATAACAGGCACCAAGTTAAGATTTTCCAATGCCGTTTCCACACTCTGCAGATTTAAAAACTTTTGTGTCATCGTTTTTATGTCAGTCTCTTTTAGATACATAACGCTGAGTAAGCATCGAGCCAGCGAATCTTGATTAAGTGCACCTTCATTATAAGTTTTCTATGTTAATAATGTTCCTGTTCAAAGATAACTCATTTGATACAAAAAATCTATAATGGTTTTGCATTTAGCATTTTGTTGTTAGTTTTGTAATTTATCGTAGAAGATTGCAAAAAAACACATACTACTTCATCTCCCATTTTATCTACTGTTCATAAAAAAAATTCGATAAATCGTCAGCTAAAGCATCGTCTGAATTTACTTTATTTTGAAATCCAAATTGTTGGTTTTGTTGGATGTATCGGTTGAATCTGCTTATTTCGAAATATATCTTGTGATATTATGAAAATTGACATCCGAAAATGTTTCTTCTGAAACCATGGTAAACGAACCTGTGGTCTATTCTATTTCTTCAAGTAGACGATTTGTTCGTACATCATTTCAGCATGCGTGATAAAACACAAAATATTTATTTGGATTTCCTATATTTCTTATCGGATAAGGAAGAAAACTGTTTATATATTGAGTAGTCGGAGAGTGACCACTAGAAATAATTCGAAATAGCAACCCAGACTGAAAATATCAGATTCTTCTTTCAAAAACATCTTTTAGAAATGCGGATTAATATAAATTTTTATGCCTGTATCTGTTTTTGAGTGAGATTGATCATTTGTAAGCTTTGAATAGATAGATCTGAAAATTTTAATTTATCCTTTATAAATCAGTATTATGATTCTATAGTCGAAAATATAAGTATTAGATTTGAATTAAATTTAAATCTATAAAAATTATTCAAAAAAACATTTACTAAATCCAGATGAGTATTGCCTTCTTCATAATATACTTTAGTCCTTCCGTAAGTTCTTTGCTAAACTTGTCGATGCCATTCAGTCTAGTGAATTAGCGTGTAAATATTTCTTAAGGTTCCTCCATATGCAAATTTCAAGACAAGCATGTATTTCTTGAAACAGGATCTAGAATATTTTTTATTTGAAGAAACCATAAGAATATATTTTAATAATTATATATTACCATTAGTTCATTGAATTAGGACTTTCAACTAGAGAAACTTCGTTAATTTAATAGTCTATACCTCTTTTAAAAAAAACATATTAGAGCAATTGTTATATCTACATCTTTCAACTCGGCTCTAAGAACCTTACCAGATGCTTCATTTCTAATTGCACTTTATTCAGAAATTTATAAAGTTAGAAATTTTATTTGTTTTTCTTTTTGAGTCAAATGCACGCATTAAACAAAGAGGATGAAGACGAAATCGGTGTTATAACAGAGCTTATCGTTTTCGTTATAAAAACACTGCATATCGATAGGACAGTGTGATATGCATTGTGATTCGATAAACAGTTATGATTCCCAACGTACAGTACCCCAAAAAGTATCGCCCGATTTAAAATTATACGTATAGTAATATGTATACATGTATAATTTTTTGAGATTTTATAATTAAAACAGTTCTTTCATTTTAAAAGTTCCATAAGACTTGGTCATTTTAATTGATTGAAGAAATAATTATTAGTATAAATATAGATATTTATATAACTTGAAATTTCCAATTTTCATATACAAAACATGGGAAATAACTTTTTTTAATATATAAAGCGTAAGAAAAAATTGTATTTACTTTCAATAAAACAATTCTTACATTTATGTTGCCACAATTATTGGATTATTTTTTTACATGTATAATTTTGGACTGGTTGATACTTTTGGGGGTTCTGTATATGTACTGACACTGAACCGCAGCACTGTAATGCGTTCGTTACATGTACATGTAACCGATAATTCTATATTTCTAATTAATATTAATCATCAAAATGTTAATCAAAAGTGAACTTAAAAATAAAATTGGTTCAAGTTCTAGTTAAAGTCGTAATGCTTTAATTTTTATTATTAATTTATAAAGATAAATAAAGATAGTCCAATAATAGAATGTGCAAATTCAAATGGGTCTACACTATTTATATTATTTTTTCCCATTTTTTTTATCGATAAAAGGCTTTTTTTCAGTAAAATAATGTTGTAATATTATTTATTAATTAAAATACATATATAATTTCCCATATATTATATTCGTAGATTAGTTTATTTGGATGATGTATTTCACAAAAATTTCAATATTTATTTATCAGTGTTTTAAATTTGTACTCCAGTCTTTTTACCATATAAAAAATTTCATATTTGCAATGCATTCAAGGAAAATTACCATTTTAAAAATTTGAATAATAAATAAAAAATTGAAAATTTGAAAATTTGATTGGTTAAAAACTTTATTATAATTTAAAAATTTTAAAGAATTGAATTTAAAAAAATCAATTGATATTTTGAAAATATTATTTAAAATATATTTATTTTGAAAGTTAGTTAAAAATTTTATTTATAGTAGAATACTATTTATGGTAAAATACCGACTGTAATTTTTGATGTATATTATGATAATAAAATAGTCTTAATTATACATGTACATGTATAATTAAGAGTATTTAGGTTGCATTATTAAAATGCAGCTGGTTTCTCATGTAAATACTTTCAATTATGTATTCAAAATTTCAAACCATTATTTATCTAATTATTTTATGCCATATAAATCACAAAGTAACAAATACTGGCAAAATAAATAATCTATAGTATTTTTGACATATAAAATTAACTTATTCTACTTAAAAAATGCTGATATCTACGAAAATACGGACTTTATAAATAAAAATTCATTTTGTTTTAGAAAATAGTATTGGCGAGCGAAAGGAAATATTAAAGCTAAATTTACTGTCTTTTGTGATTGGCTGTTGTATAACCTGATTGTTTGCATCACTAATAATGGGTTCTGGTGTAGGTTGAATAACTTGATGACTGTCCTCTGAATCTTTTTGCTTATTCTTATATAACTTGTGTATGATAAAAGCTAAAAGAGCGGTACCTAAAATGCCTCCTATAATACCGCCTACTATACTGCCAATATTTGATCCATTTTTCGGAGATGGCATTGAAGTGGTCGAATTTGAACCAGAGGATTGAGTTGAACCTGGTTGCCCTTTTGTTGATCCTGTATCTGTTTCTTCATTAAGTGAAGTTACCCATTCATAAGTATTTACGTTAAGAATCGAAATAAAATTTGTATCCGATGTTTCTCTCTTGAAATTCTTCGTTATCCCTGGTCCTTTACTCGATGCGTTCTCGCCAATTAACATTTTAGTCTTGGCGTTTCTCCCTAAAAAAAGAAAATGCAATTAGACTCTATTCAACAAATATTTTTTTTAAAAATAAGATTACCGAATGCAATGATCATATAAATATCGTTGATATTTGTTGCAGTATGATAATAAGGAATAATTTGATTATCTGGTATCTTTTCTGTGCGCCAACTATAATTGTTGCCATCTATCTCCAGAATTACCAAAACATTACTAGGAGGTGTTTCCTGTTCTGAAAGTCCGCCATAAACGATGATCTTATTTTGCACTTTAAATTATAAAATATTTAATAACATTATAATATTAAGACTATATTATACAATTTAAATTACCTAAGCATGCTGAATGCCCATATCGGCCGACTACGTTGTCTGCATTCTTGACAGACTTTAAATTTATAAAGAATTAGAAGATAAGGTATGATTTTATATTTTTGAAAACCGAGAGATTTACCTTTAATGTCAATTTATTCTTCGTAATATTGTATATCCAAATCTACCAATAAATTTAATGAATTGTTTGAAACAAAATAAGAGCGAGAAAATTTATTTAAAAGATATAAAACCTGATTCATTAAGAAGTTTCCATTTGTAGATTTACCTCCTATGTAAATTATGGAATCTTGATAATATGTAGCAGTATAATCAGATACTAGTAATTTGGGTTGGTCGTTCACATCAATGGAGAGTTTCTTCGATTCCAAAGATGTATTATAAACGAACATTATAGGCCCTTCGATTGAAATAGTGAAAATATAAATGTTGCCAGATGAATCGATTACTGCATTCCTAGTTCTTGCTGGTATCGGTATATTAGGTGTTGGCATATCAAGGTTAGTCCAAGCAGATGGATTAATCATTATATTAATAATGAACCCTTGATTAAACTTTCAAATTAACAAATTTTGTGAAAATTTATTACGTATATTACTAACAGAACGAACATCAAGCATTACCATTTTGCCATCAGAACTTCCATATACTTCAATTCTCGAATTACTTATCACTGAAGCTGCAAACAATACACTAGGAAGAATGGGAGGAACAAGGTTTTGCGGATTAAATATTGGAGTTATATTCAGTGAGCTTGATATTTCAAGTGTAAAGAAATCAATCAACGAACTATCGTTGCGATCTAATCCTCCCAAAAAATAGATTTTTTTGTCAATCTCATTATAATTCGCAGTATGCCCATAACGACTAAATACATCTGCATTTGCAAACAAGAATGATAATAAAATAATCACAGTAATTTTAGAATTCAATAAATTCATTTTTTCTTTTGTAAAATAAAAGGGGGGTTTTTTAAAAAAAGAGACGTTGAAATAACAAAATTTAAGAGTACTGGTACAGTTTTTGTTTAAATTTCTGAAATTCGTAAAACCAACCAATAATATATTATTATATAAAATTAGACATTCACACTGTAACCAAAACAAAACTGTACCTTTAAAATACGTACATGTATATGTACGTATGATACATGTACATGTATACAGTTATACCGATGTACCCGGATACAAAAAATATCGGTATAACAAGATAGCAATTTTTTTATATTGTGTAACTGTAAGAAGTACTCTAAAAATCACTTTTGAAAGCGATATTTTCAATACATATATCGTTATAAAAAGGCATCAGTATACATATAGAGCTCTGACTGAGGGGAGGTATAAGTTCACTAATTTTCATGATTGGAGTTAATTTTTTGGAGTATTTTTTTCAAATTGTTTATTGTTTCTAATTCTTGGTCCCGAAGGAAAATGAGATTGGGAATATAAGCAAATTTTACAATGAGTAATTTTTATGATTACTAATCAAATAATCTTAAATTTACGTACAAGTCATGAGATTTATGCCATAAACCCCGTTAGCAACAAAATTAGCTTCCGCCTTGCATATCTTGTTGAATCAATAACTAACGTCTAAGTTTGCCAACTGTTATTTCTTTATAATTTATGCGGTATTTATTTCTACAAAGTATATATTATATTTTATGAGAAGAATATTTGATATTCGGCTTAAGCTGCTATTTTCGTATCCAACAGAACAGCACTGCTTCTGATTTATTTAAGATTTGAGAAATAAAGCCAACTATCAAAATAAACAACGCAAGTAATATAAAAACATATTTTTATTCAATAAACAACTTGATCCCATTTTACATATTCCTTTTACTAGAACCAATAAACGCTAAACCTAATAAAAGATTAATAGGTCCAGATTATAAGCAAAACCTAATAAAAGATTAACAGGTCCAGATTATAAGCAAATATTTTACTGTGGTTGAATTGAAAAGATACGCTTAATATACTCAAAAGCTTGTCGTCTTTCTTGGAATATAAGATAGTTTGGATGTTGAATTTGAGGTAATTGTATAAAATACAATATAAAAATATTTTAATTTGAAGCATCAATGTAAAGAAAAGATAGATGAAATAATTTTCTACTTTAGAGGATTTCGATTGAAAGCAAAAGAATGGATAAATAAACCAATAAAGCCGGTTAAACACCTATGGATGTCCAAGCTTGGGTTGACCAAACTTTTATTATCAGTTTATTTTGGCAGAAGATGCATTGGTTTTGGTATAACGAACCTGAGTACTGGATATCGGAAGAAGCAGAATTTGTCTGTTTAAATCTTTAAGTATTTGAGCGCAAAGAAGAAATGAATGCATCGCATTTACTGAAGAACGAATTGAACAAAGCTATCTATAAAATATATATGTAATTGTACATTCTATTTAGTGTTAAAGAAATCAACCAACCAGTATACCTCAATATATATCTTTATATTATTTCTTTATTATAGCATTACGATGAACTGTCCAGTTTCTCTTTACAAAATACCTTTGAGTTGATAATATTAATAAAATAACTTTAAAAATATTCAAAAGTTAAATCTGTATTAGTTTGCGATTTACATACAGAAATGGTGATTTTAAAATATTTTATGAGTAATTATTTGTAAATCAATTATTATAAGCATTATATTAAATTAGTAAACTAAAGGCTCAAATGTTAAAAAGTTTATAATGAACGAAGAGTTATACCAGTACGCATTGAAGCACTTCGTGTGTGCAGGGTATGAAAAAGTGCCTTTAAACGTCTATATTTTTCATATTTTTAAAACACGATGACGATAAATAAATCGATTTAGATTTGTAGTTGAATTGTTTTAGTTTATCGCTCTAACGCTAATTATAGAAAAGAGCCATTTATCTTAAATTTGTGTGTTTTATCGTTTATATATTTATTTATGTTTGTTTTATGATTAAAATTTTCATTTATGTGCTTGTTTTATTGTTATATGAAAATGACACACATTATTAATATGCTTACATAGTGTATTACATGTACATGTACTATAAATTTCGCAACCTAATGTAACAAATAAGTCGACGTCTAGTAATTCATGTAGCAATACGCTATGGTTATAAAAATAAGTAAATTTATAAAGAATATGAATAGAGTAAATGTTCACCTTATTTTCATGTGTTATATTCGAAACCTGGTTTGCATCATCAAAGAAAATATAACAAATGAATTAAAGTAATTAATGAAAAAATTAATATTAAATATAATTTTATCTTCATCTGGAACATATAAACTGATACTTACATTCTATATAAATTTTAATTAATGTGAAGTGACAACGTGATTTTTATTAAGAAATAAAAGTTCCTGTGCCAGTTGGTATTAAATTAAATTTGTAGTAAAGATTAGACTGTAAACTGCATTTGGGTGGATTTATTGTTTTTATGTTACATTTGTAAGAATGCTTTTTTGCTGTTTCTCTTCATCAAGCTCTTTCCATTTTTATTCTTCTAGTTTATTCTAAGCTGTAGTACTGAAAATGCGAATTATTCAGTTTCCGCCATCCTGAACGATAATTATATACATGTATCGAGTAGATAAAGTCTCCAATTTTTGAAAATTGGTCTGTTTTCTGAAATAGAATCCAAACATTTTCAATAATAAATTTGCACACTCGGGAAAATTATTTGGTACTTTAGGTCGTACTCCTTTATGGATGTCACTTATATTCGACTCTCGATAAATGCAACCTCTTTTATAGTACCAGTTCCAAGATACATATCGGTATTTATTAAGTGGAGAGTAATTATATTACAATCTTAATGCATACTCTTGGAACTGGCACTATATAAGTGATTGAACTTATCGAGAGTCGACTGTACAAGGTGTATATTATGACTCTGCCATAAATGGTCGTTCACCTGTGACAATCACGTCACGTAATCATTATCCAAAATCTGCTTTATGAATGGCTTTCCATTTAACGTTAATACTGTTAGCATAATCACATTAAATCCTTTAATTCCGTGATTTTTAACCCTTAATTTCCACGCGAATACGTATCTTTCTATAACTTCCTACATGACAACGATAATTCATATTGAAAGCCACATTTAGAAATATTTTGTTACGGATGTATATTACCTTTTTTTTCCTGTATTATGAACATCACATCATCGTTCTTCAATATTAATGCATGTAACGATAGTTGATTATTAAGAGGACGATAATTATTCCAACAATTATATGTATTTGGACAATTGAACGATTATTGATGCACGTAACGATAGTGACTATCAAAAAGACGACAATCATCTGGTCGTTTTAAAAGAAACCATCAATGTAAATTACTAACCTTAGAATTAGCGTAGGATTAGCGTAGTAACTCAAAATTGTATATAGAAGCGTCTTCGAGTCTCTGAGAGACCATGCTTTGATCATGCTTTGATCGAATAAAATAACAAAATTACCTGTGATAATATTACTCGTGAATACACGATTATTTTTGTGATCAAACTTCAAACCTTGCGAGAAATTGCAAGTAATGGATGCTCCTCCACTCTAAATAAACCATCGATTTCTTTTGAATTGTTATTTTAGACAAGTCCTTTTGAATAATTTTGTTTTCTTTGCACAGGCCATATCAATAAGTCCTGTTGAATTAATTTAGTTTTTCCTAGATAGGCCATATCAATAAGACCTATCAGATTTGTAAACGTTTTCAATTATTAAATAAAACGATTTTATTAACAATTTGGTTCTTATCACAAGAGTGAAACTATCTTATTTTTTTTTCCATACACCCCTCATTGTTGATAAGGTCGATTTGTGACAAATCGCCATAGGAAACCTTTATAACACCCGGAGAAACCCTCCAACCGTAAATAATTCGATCTAACTTTCAACTTTCATTGCGGAAAGTCACTTGATCAATTGACTGTTATAGTAAACACAACAATCTGATGCCCCCACCGCATTCATCACGAAATAAACTCTTTTGACTAGATATCGAAGTAGAACGCAACAATAGGTTACTTCTGACGAGCACTGTATTCCAGTAGAGGGGTCGGGTCCAATCCGTGATCTGACCCGGAACGCATATTTCAGGTCGGGTCAGCCTAAAAATCGTTATTTTTCGTTCAATATTAATTGGAAATAACGAAAATTTGTGGGTATACACAATTACATTCCGAACAACTCTACTCAGACACCAATTACAAGTATCTTAGTAATAATAAAAGTTTTTATTTAAAAACTATTTTATGATTTTCGGATCAAACCCGATCCGAATCCGACACGACCCGAAATTATCGGTTCGGATTTATTACTGCACACACTCAATCCCGTTAAACCGAGGCACTAATTAAAACCTGCATAAACCGAGTTGATTCCAGGAACAGTTATAGTGAGCATGCTTCAATAAACAAAATTTAAAAGCTGATTCCAATTTTGAAATTAAAAAAAAACATGATTTCTTTTATTTCTAGGTTTCTTCTGATTTAAAATCGAAAGAAATGAATTTTTTGTGTTCAAGGTTTCTTCCAATTTTAAAATTGGATTGAATTATGAATTTTATGACCAATTCGGCTTAATGTAGTTGACTGTGCATAATATGCCTAGCACGTCCAGCGCGTAAAATCCACGGAAATGGCACGAAAGCACGGAAAACGCGACAAATTGCGTGCACATACCTACGTTTTTGGTTAAGATTTTTTCACACGGAGTCATTTTCGTGTCACAAAACCCGTGCCCGCAACGTAGTTATACATACGGAATTTGTTGTGTTTCCGTGCTTTTGTGCTATTCCTTGCGATTTCCGTGGATTTTACGTGCTTGCTTTTTTATAAGACAGATGGTATAAATTCAGTTGAACTACCAGCATGAAGATTAACAAACTATCCAGGACATAATTTTGAAGCACAAATTTGTCAGTTTCTTTCCGGCAGATTTAAATTTGCCAGAAACATGATAGGTTAGCCGCAACATCTTGCTTTTTAGTTTTGCATTGATTAATTATAAAAGTACCTAGGACGTTAAATGTAAGTGATGAACATGTACGTATTACGTACGTATATGCGTGGTTACATTTTCCAAAATTAGAACATGTATCCATTATCGTTACGATGTTGTATAACGCTAATACATGTACGTACATGTACATGTATTATGATAACGATAACGATATGAGATTTAAATTAGCTGTATGTCCGCATGCATAATGCATCTATCAATTCTCTAAATTAGTCATGTGTATGGTGTTAAACTGGCATTTACCGTTTCTGTTACCCACTCACCAGAAGCAAAATGTCAGAAAGAATTCCGGATACTTTGCACGAAGGAAGTACATCGTTAGAATCCAAGATAATAGAAAGTAGTCAAATAAAATTTTTCGATTTTAATGGATTTATCAAACAAGGCGTTATCGGCGAAGGAGCATTCGGAAAAGTGTACAAAGCGAAATGGAAAGCTGATGAATTAACGGTTGCTTTGAAAAGTTTGCACATAATAGACAAAGAGCATATGGAAAAGATATATGAAAGTTTTATTAAAGAGGTACAGCAAATATTTTTAATGCAGCATAGTTATGATTAAGAGCTTTCAGATACTAAAGTGATTCGATATCGATATGTATTCTTAGTTGAAAATTCTAATTAAAGTCAATCATAATCAAAATATTATCCGTTTATACGGGATTACAAAAGGTAAAAATACTTGTATCAATTTAAATCGGCATCTTTATAACTTACAAATTTCTTAAATTATTACGAACAGATCCGATTGCACAGAATTACATGTTTGTATTAAAATATGCTGATGGCGGAACCCTTTTAGATTATTTAAAAAACAACAATGTAAGCGGAAACAAAAAGCTATCATTGGCTACGCAGCTTACAAACGGATTGAAATGCATTCACGATGAAGGAATAATCCATCGAGATTTGGTAAAAGAAATTTCTGTGTTTTCATATTGCAATAAAATGCTTGCTAAAGTTTGCTGACATATATGTAATTTGATTGAATGCTAGCACCACAATAACATTTTAGTACACAAAGGGAGGATTAAGATCACAGATCTAGGTTATTCAAAAATTTTAAACGATAATCAAATAATAAAGAATGCCGATTCAAAAAACTCAACTGAGCATCCGTATTCAAAAACCGGTTATGGTTTAATATACTATGTTGACCCAGCATATATGAAAGAACCAAAAAAATTTAAACGAAATCAGGCATCAGACATATACAGCCTCGGAGTACTCTTATGGGTAATTTCTAGTAGCCGAAATCCCACCAATAAATTTGGTAGTACTACACCATTTCTTGATGAAAAAGAGACAACGGCGTTTGGAACTCCAATTAAATATGTTAATTTATATCAAAAATGTTGGAATGACGAGCCAAAATATCGTCCAGATATTTATGAAGTTGTGGAAAGGCTTAAAGAAATTGAATGGCCAAAAACAGAAGAATCGATTTCAACTTCATCAGAAAATACAGATTCAGATTCCGATTTAGAAAGCAATCGATCTAGCTCAACTTCAACTAACAGCGAATTCCACGAAGAAATTTCACCAGAAAATATAATTGATGAAGCATGGAATCTACTGAATAAACTTAACTCCGGAGAAACAATCAGCAAAATAATTAGACAACTAGAAATTTTCCTTAAAAAGGAAATAACATATCATAGAAAAATACAAGAAATATTACAAAAGTCTTCTAGAAACTTTAAACACAAAACCCTTTTGGGTTTGCTTTATCATTCGGGGATTATACTTGAAATTAATCATAACTTAGCATTTACAATGTATGAAGAATCAGCAAATGGAGGCGATTCGTTGGCGCAAGTTTTAATTGGTTATTGCTATATGAACGGAATCGGAACAAAAAAAAATTTAGATGAATCTTTTAGTTGGTTTCAAAAATCAGCAAATAATGACAATATATGTGGTCAATATGTATTAGGAAAATGTTATTTTGACTCACTTGGCTGTGAGAAGGACTATAATAAGGCCTTTGAATTGTTCATGAAAGCCGCAGAGGGAGAGAATTTTACAGCACAAAATTGCCTCGGTATGTGTTATGAAAATGGCTACGGAATACTACAAAAAGAAGAAAAGAAAGCCTATGAATGGTATTTGCGATCAGCAGATGGTGGAAATTCACACGGTCAATTTAGTCTTGGCAAATGCTATGAAAACGGCATAGGAACAGAAAAGGATCCAGAAAAAGCATTTAATTGTTATTTAAAATCGGCAGAAAACGGAAATGCACAATCGCAATTTTATGTCGGAACATGTTATGAAAAAGGTCAAGGAATAGAAAAAGATGAAAAAAATGCATTTAAATGGTATCTAAAATCAGCTGAAAACGAACATTATGCAGCTCAATGTAATATTGGTGTATGTTATGAAAAAGGTCAAGGAGTCGAGAAAGATGAAGAAAAATCATTTCAGTGGTATCTTAGGTCAGCAGAAAACGGTGACCCCAGAGCTCAATTCAATCTTTATAGACGCTATGAAAAAGGTCAAGGAACCGAGAAAAATGAAGACGAAGCGTTTCGATGGTGCTTAAAATCGGCGAAACAAGGAAATAATTCCGCTCAATATTTCGCTGGTGTGTGTTATCAAAACGGATTTGGCACACAAAAAAATGACAATAAAGCATTCGAATATTACTCCGAATCGGCGAAAGGTGGAAATGCTGAGGCACAATATAATGTTGGCCTTTGTTATCATTCTGGCCTCGGAATAGAAGTGAATGGGCAACAAGAGTTTGACTGGTTTTCTAAAGCTGTAGCAGGCGGTTATATTGGTGCAAAGATCAATCTCGGTAATTGTTATTTTTACGGACGAGGAGTTCAAAAAGACGAAGCCGAAGCATTTAGACTATATTCACAAGCAGCAGAAAATGGGATAGTCTCGGCGCAAATGAATACCATATGTTGCTATTCGCACGGATACGGAACCCACAAAGATAACCAAAAGGCTTATAAGTTGTGCCTAGAATCAGCAAAAAGTGGATTCGTTAAAGCACAATATCTTCTTGGGACATTTTACGAACACGGCAAGGGTACCTCAAAAAACTTAAAAAAAGCCTTCGAATGTTATGAAACAGCAACCGCAAATGGACATCCCCAAGCAAAGAAAAAACTTAAATCTTTGAAGTTTCTAGCATTTTCACGGTATAGTGATTTAAAACAATTTGTGTGTAACCGGCTAACCGACCCGAACCGAGAAACACGGTTGAATCAATTGGACCAAAGGTATGATCAATTAAAGTTAGAATGATATTGTTAACGCTAACAATAAAATTCGATTATTTTATAGATAACATTAACGATAACAATATCGATAGCGAAACTAAACCAGTGGGATCTGGCGGAAGTTATTGGATATTGGATTAAATTTTGGATTTACTGTACCGGTATCGGAATGCTATATTCTAAATCCACAAATATTAGTCGGTTCGGTTGATCGGTCGGGGTATCATTTTATTAATTAAAGTTTATGTGTGACCTTATGCTAATTAATTATACATGTACATGTATAATCAAATACTTTAGTGCATTTTTGTTCTTTTAATTTCAGTTTTACTCTTATTCCAACTTCTTAAAATTCTATCAAATATTAGTTTTGATTCAAAATACAATCCTTTTTAAATGCAATGGGCCTGAATAAGACAATAGAAAAGTTTTGAATCTCAAGAGAAGCCCTAAACCATTGACTTTCATTCAAAATTTCTACAGTTTCTATCTAAATCACTTTCTTTTCAAGATAAAGCTACTCATTTCTTTAAAGCTGTATTGGTTTAGCTAACAAAAGATCTATTTCGAGTTTTGTTACGCAAATTTACTTTGTTCTTTTAGGTCGAAAAAAATAATACCTTTATTTTTGAAACATGAAGTTGCTAAAATCCAATATTGCTCTTTTTTTCATGCTTTTTCATGTTATTGATTTAATGCACCGCATCGAATATACCTCTGGACGAATGGGTAGATGGCGATAAAGTAAGATTTTCGTTTATAGTAAACATACGAACACTCGATATAAGGGTTTCAAACCAGTCTTCCAAAAAATTAAACAAAATTTATTTACCGAATAAAACATGTTTTTAATTTACAGCAACAACAATCTAATACTGTTACATATTAACAAATAAAACACATCACTGGCGCGTTTTAGATGCATCATTTTAAAACTAATTACGTAAGAATAAACTGTTACAGTCATACCCCTGTATAATCACATCCTTGGAACTAAAATCTATATACGTATTAGGAAAGTAATTGATTAATTTAGCATCTATCGCTATTCTGAGAATCGATTTAAAGACAAAATTGATTAATAACGATAACAATAATACATAAATCATGATTTTTCACTTGTGAAAAACAAGCAAATGTTGTAACGCACGACAACCTACTCTGTCATTTAACAAAAATTTTAATACATGTATTGATAATACTCATGCCAAAAGTAACTGATATTGATCCAAATTTTGAATGATATTTATGAAACAACAGAAAATACAGAATCACAATACTTCAATTGCCTCTATAGTATATTTTCCACGTAGTATCTCTACAAATTCAACTAATCAAAGTAAAATTTCAACTATTCCACCGAAAAGGGAACATGCAGTGAAAAACAAACCAGTTATTTCGTCGCCGTCGTCGTCGTCATCATCGTCGTAATTTGTGCTCGAGAATCAATTCTCGAATTGAAAAGCGATTAATCGATTTACTTTAAACGATAAATTGAATTATTAATCGATTTTAGAATCGATTCTTATCCCTACTACTATATACACTACAAACCAATACCAAAAGTTTCAGGACACTATTAGATGCGATATCTCGAAACCCAATGATCAAATTCGCACGAAAATACCGCCACGATTGAATAAATCGAATGGTGGTATTTTTATACGAGTCTGACCAATGGATGTTGAGGTATTGCACCCGAAAGTCACTGTTCGCCAAAATTTTATTGGAATTTTTCAAAAAGAGGCTTTATTTGAATAACCAAAAAGTGAATGATTGAAATTTGAGTATGTTTATAAAGATAAATATTACATCATTTACCGAAATGAATTTGTGCATAATTATTTGCAAAATTACAGTGAAATTTAACAAAAATTTTTCGAAATTTCAAGGCCAATTTCTTGATAATAGAGAAGGGTGATTATTACATACTGGCAGAAAGTAAACAGGTAAACTATAGCATGTATCAACATTACATCTCAGCAGATGCATCTAGCAAAAAATCTATCCGCCTTTATTTTCCGTGCGGGCTGTAATTCAAAAAACAAAAATTTTGTTCAGTTCTGTTTGACTAATTTATTCACTGAAAACCAAATTTGATTATCACTTTCATGAAAAATAATTCATTCTAAAAATATCCGAGGCATTTAAAGTATGATAAATTAAAGTTTATAAAAGTCAACAAAATCTATACACAGTACGTTTTGAGTATATTGCATGTTCGTATCGGTATCGATCGATAATGGCTTCTCAATCATCGATGTGTAACAGTAACAGCAACTTACGTACGTACGTACGTACGTACAATGAACACTCCGGAAGAGAACATAAAAGAAAATATTTAAACTTTGGTTATTTAACGTCGTGTCGTATCTTATACAAATGAACATGGATTTACTAAATTATAAAATTATAATTATTTTATTATCAATTTGTTTGGTAGATGCAGACGAATCATTTAGATTTATTCGTTATGGGCATACTACGAATTATTATAACGATAAGAACGACAATAAACTTTGTTTTTTGGGAGGAGTAGATCGCAAAAATAGTACTACAGCTGATTTCTTTACGCTTGAAATATCCAACTCACTGAATACAACAGCTCCAAAATTTGTACAGCAAATATTTAATCCTAGTCCTCCCAATGTTGCTTTTGCTACCACAGTAATAAATAACTCAACAATTTATGTATTTGGAAGTTTTAATGGCACTACGGTAATGTTTAATCATCGTATTTTTAGTAATATAAAGAATAAATTTTCACCAAATTTGTTTTACTTTAAAGTTGTTTCAAGGTTTCTTTATTGATATATCGAGTAAACCAACATGGAATAAACTTGATGGTCTACCAACACTTGCTATTCAAGCTCCACAAGCAAGAACCATGAATGCTATAATTGATTCATCGGGAAACATTTATGTTTTCGGTAGATTTATTCAATCATCACAGCAACAAATATTACGACGACAAATAAACATGCCACTACAACCCAATAATCCACTACAACCCAATAATCCAATATCATCGCCAACCTTAGCCACGTCATCATCACCAGCACCAACTACATTACTTCCACCAACAACTCAATCACAACAACCAACTCTTCAGTCTCCGTCCACTCAATCACAACAACCTCAGCCACCAACCACTCAAGCACAACCACCATCCACTCAGCCACAACCATCTCCCGATCAACAGCCAATCAATGCAATGCTCGTTTATAATATAAATACGAGGTCTTGGAAACACATTGACTTAAAAGATTATGACCAATCCAAATTACCAGCTTCTGATTTTACTGCTACATATTTGCAAAATTCCAATTCGATAATTTACATAGGCGGCAAATCTTCAGATGGAAGCTTAATACCAATGAATCAGGTTTTATATCTTCAAAAGAAGTTTCTCGCTCTTAATTTGTTTCAAATGATTCCACTAAATATATTATTGATAGATTTGGACATACAGAATTTCAGATAATAAATTAGAATCAAAAGTAAATTTCTTTTGGTTTTTAAATATATACTATCATTTCTTATCTTCTAACCCGTTATAAAATTCAAAGTATACTGACGTAAACAATATAGTCGGCCGATATGGACATTCAGCATGTTTAGGTAATTTAAATTGTTTAATGTAATATTAATATTACATGTATAATCTTATTGATATTATCGTTATTTATAAATTAAAGTGCAAAATAAGCTCATCATTTACGGCGGACTTTCAAATTTAAAACAACCTCTTGATTCTAGTAATGCTTTGGTAATTCTGGACATCAATGACGGCAGTTACAATTGGTATACACCAAAGGTTACACCAAATACGCAACCTATTCCTTACTATCATACTGCAACAATTGTCAATGATAGTTCTATGGTCGTTGCATTCGGTAATCTTTTTTTAAAAAAAGAGAGCCTAATCATTCTATGGTCGTTGCATTCGGTAATCTTTTTTAAAAGAGAGTCTAATCACGTGTGCTTTTTCTTTTTTTAGGGATAGATGGCAAGAGTGGAAGGTTAATTGGCGATGGCGATGTCACATCGAACGAAAATGTTATTTCAATTCTTAAAGTAGATGCACAGAAAAATAATTATACATGGGTATCTAACGCTAATAATCCATCTCCGAAAAAGGGTTCATATGTTGGCATTATAGTAGGTGTTATCATAGGAGGAATTTTAGGTGTTGTTCTGTTAGTTTTTATCATATATAAATGCATATATAAGCCAAAGCAGAAAAATTTAGAGGATAGTCATGAAGTTATTCAATTTACACCAGTACCAATTACAAGCGATTCAAACAATCAGGTTATAAAGTTTCCTTTCGGTCGTCAATAATTCCTATAAAAATGAAGTACTCTCTCTCTATTTAAATAGCTCATTTTTTTAGATTTAAAAAAATTAAATAATGGATTAATGTTGCTAATACATATTTCTTTATAATTTATATGTTGTAATAATTTTTGTGCTTCTTTTAATACCAGTTGTATTCAATTATCTTTTAATCAAATGTTAGCACCAGTAAAAATGGCAATTTTTTTAACTTTCTGGGATACCCAGAATCTCAATGAATGTGGAATTTAACAATTTTCAATTTTTGGATTGTAACGGATTTTTGGTTAACTCTGGATACTTTTTAGGACATTTCAATAACACTCTGAGGGAATAAATTTACTTCTCAGTCTGGATACCCTTTTTTTATTTGATAAGAAAACTTGGCATACTCAAAATTTGATTTAAATTTAAATAAATGTGTAAATAATATTAACTATATGTATATTATAATATTATGGGTCACTATACTCAGAGTGCCAATTGAAGTCAGATTTTTATAAAATACTGATATAGAAATTGCGTACTATTAATATTAAGAGAACATTTACAATCCATTAAATTCATTTTGTGAAATATCGAGTATCCAAAATCTCATTTAGAAGTTATTGTTCAAAATTTTATTTCTTCTAAATAAATATACAGTCATGACCAAAAGTATCTGACATGTGTAATGCACCAAATTTTTTCGAGCACAAAGAATATTACAAATACTGATCATTAATACATGTACTTTTTTATAGGTTGTTAGAGCTTTTATATTGGATATTGTATGTTCATATAGATCCCTCCCCCTTCTGAGATTTTATTTAAAGCATGCACGTGATATTATTTTAACTCATAAGATTAGCTATTCCTCCTTAGAATAATATCTGTCACTCCTAATAATGATTAACCTTACTTATATATTTATATTCAAAATTCCTTACAAACACAGTCTAAGAAATGGTGAATCTGCTGTTATAGTGCAAGACATCTATGTATAATCAAAACAAATTGTATGTGTTAAAGTTCTATAACGACTTAATTAGGAAGTAATACGAAATTTAATCCGCAGTTACGATCAAGAAAGACCTAAGCTTACATAACTGCGAATTCAATTTTGGATATACGTACATGTATACACTCATTCCTCTATATAAGAACACGCTATATAAGAACACCTCTCTATAGAAAGAACAAGCTCTCTATAAGAATTAATTTTTATGGCCTGACCATAATCTTATAAAGAGGGATGACTGTACATGTAGTTAAAAATTATCAATACATTTTCTTCATAAATGATATCATGTGATCATAAATCAATCAAATTTATTGATGAGTAAATTTATTTAAAGTGGAAACTTCGACTAAAAAATGGAGAAATAATACTGGAGTCCTAGTCAATTTGCGAAAACCATGTCAACAACATAAAGTTTTAGTTCATTAAATAACCATTTATTATGAATTCACGACAAGTTACAACAATTTTAAGTATTTATATTCTTAAAAAAGGTGAGCAATTAATAGACGAAATTAAACTGGACGAAATAACGAAACTCTTGACAAAATTGTTTTGGCATATAAAAAATATTTAAATTTTTGGCAAATTGCAAAATGACCAGTTCAAAATATTTTAGTCAGATATCTTTAAGTTTAGAGGAGTCAGAATCTATTTGAAAAACTTGATTGTATTTGAAAATTAGAAAGTGATCGTTCTTACCTCGTTTATGAACTTTAGTGTAATTTGTTTTCAATCGCGTAATATTTTAATACAACTTCGCGTTCATTATTATCTTGTTTAAATTTATTTTATTCATAATCCTATTGTCATCCAATGATCCGTTCAACCATGATGTTTTATAAATTATAACTATCTTTTGCAAGATATTCCAAATTTTCAACTAGGATCCATTCAAAAGTTTAGCTTAAAACATTTCCAACAGTACTTGAGTATTGTGATCTAACATCATTGTGTTGACAATTGTTACATTTACTATAATCATGAGTATTCGAAATTTTTTAGATTCCATCTTCGAGTTCACTTAATGGTTTTAGTTAACTGAAATATGATTTATACGTGTGGAAGTTATTGGTTAATTGGTGTAATGAAGAGCCATTTATGTACATGTATTCCACTCCATTTGTGTCATTGAGTCATACCTTCATAGAATTTTAATTTGTGTGTATTTTATTGTTGAATGAAAAGTCATATACATGTATGAAAATAACAACAATACATTGAATTAATGTAATTATTTTTTTATAACAAAGTTTTTTTTTTAGATAACAGATATATTTAAACAAAAATTACATGAAATGTAATTTTTGCTATAATGGCTATCGCTATCTTTGCCAAACAAATAAGATCTAACACTAACACTACACTAAGCATTCTTATCACTTCTGCATAGTTTGAATAAGAACAATGAATGTTATTATAAATTTAATGTAATTATATGAAAGAATAAAAAGCGCTCGAGTATATGCATCTGATTCCTCATATATCTTTATTGCACAGTTTCCTCCTATTAGTTGGTCATGTGATATATTATAAGCATAAATTCATAAATATGTGTGATGAAATCAGTAGAAAGAGACAAATTTATTCAAGTAATTTGTTCCTCTCTACCCATGTATAATATTTGACATTAGGTATTGCAGTGCAAGATGTGATAAAACATCTGTAAAAACTTGATTCTTGTTACAGCTATCTTTAAAGCATTTGAATTGTTAGCAATACACAGTAAATCTCTTTATAATGTATCAAAATAGCTATATGTTCTAGCAAAAAATTTTCCACTATATCGAGAGTTTGAAAATTTATTAGCAAATCTACTATATCAAGTGGATTTATTAGAGGCAGTTTTGAATATTATTCACTATAACGTGAATTTAATTGGTCTCCACTATAACGGGGGGATATACTATAAAAAAGTCACTGTGTATTTCTATTTTGCACTTGCAGCAGCAAATAGTCAAATCAACGTCTAACCTAGGTAATTTTTGCAATCTTCATAAATGCACAATATTATTTTTGTTGACGCAATTACATAAGTAATAGAAAGTTGTTTGTTAATGTACTATTACCGAAATAACATTAAATCCTCTATCTTTCCATAACGACTTACACGATAATCCTTCCATAGCTAGTTTTGTGTAATTCACATTGAAAGCCAAGTTTAGAAATGTTTCATTACGAATGAATATTACCTTTTTTTTCTGTGTTATGAATATCCCATCGTTTTTCAATATTAACGTTAATGTTCGTAATGATAGTGATCATTAAGAGGACGATAATTATTCCAAAAATCACTTGGAAAATAGGAGAGCATCGAACGATAATTAATGCACGTAACGATAGTGATTATCAAAAAGGAGACAACAATAATCTGGATAATTGAAAGATATTGAACAATTGATGTCCAAATGTTTCAAAAGAAACCATCAATGTAAATTATTAACCTCAGAATTAGCATAGGATTAGCATAATAATCCAAAATTGATTAGTGTAGTAATCCAAAACTGTATATAAAAGCATCTTTAAGTCTCTGAGAGAAGATGTTTTGATCATGTTTTAATCTAATAAAATAACAAAGTTCTTGCTTGTAATAATAAATTTACTTGTAAATACACTATTATTTCGATTAAACTTCAGTGTATGGTTCCTTCACTTAAATAAGCTATTGTTTTTCTTTGAATTAGTTACGTTTTTCTTTGTACAGGCCATATCAATAATTCCTGTTGAAATTAATTTTGTCTCCTTAGGCAGGCCGTATCAATAAGCCCTGTAAAATTGAATTTTAGCACTGAGTTTTTCTTGGATAGGCCGTATCAATAAGTCCTGCCATATTTATATCAATTATTGGAATAGTCACTTTATTATAACAAATTTAGTTATTGTTACAAGAGTGACTTTCATTCTATCTATCCCCAAACACCCCCTTAATGTTGAGAAAAGGTCGATTTGTGCACAAGTTGCCACAGGAAACCTTTAGGAACCCGAAGAACCCCTCTACCATAAATAATCCAATCTAGCTTTCACCTCTGTTGCGAAAAATCTCATGATCGATTAATTGTTATAATAAACATAACAATCTGGTACCCCAATCCATTTGTCACAAAATAAACCCTTTAACTAAATATTAAAGGGAACGCAACAGTACGTGGTTTAGAGCTAATATATAATTTAGTATTATTTGAAATCTGTTCTGCAACTAATGTTGCTAACAACTGTGTGTGTTAATATTATCAGGGTTGAGTACAACGGAATCTGACTGTATTCGAAAATTAACGCTCAATATAAGCTACTTTTAGGAATGCAGAGTTGTCAAATACATGTATATGCCTATCAAATGGAATCGGAACACAAAAAGATGAGAAAAAGCATTTGAGTGGTATTTGAAATCAGCAGAGTGTGAAAATGCAGCAGGACAATATAAATTAGGAAAAAGAAATTGCTGTCTCTAAAGATATTAGGAAAGCTAAAAATGCAATTAAAATGTTAATATTGACGCAAAAAAAAACAAATAGATGCAATTCCTAGATATAAATCAATTTTTCCGTCCCTTTTTTTATAATTTCTCGGTTTAGTTTGCTTGTTCAATATTTTATTTAAAACTGGTTTTAAATTTGACTATGAATTTATTGTTATTTTTGAACTGAATAATTTAAAGTGGCAAATTCTGTTAGAATAAATTTTTATAGAAATGGGATAGAAAATTTAGAGCAATTTTAGCCCAAGTCCATTAAATTAAATTTACAAATTTTGATGTCTGTGTTTCTTTCTACTTTATTATTTATTTACTATTGTATTAATATCATATAATGTGCAGGAACTCTTAAATCGACAATATGTTTAATGTTAAAAATTCTTTCAACTTCTCAGCTAAGGAGTAAAAGCAAATCCAAATTTAACTGGTAATATTATCAAGGAATATAATTTCTATAATATTACCAGTTAAACTTTGGATTTACTTTTACTTCTTAGCTGAGAAGTTAAAAGAATTTTTAACATGAAATATCTC